CCCAGGAACACCTTGCCTTCTGCTCAAGATCTTGGCCAGAACCCGGCAGTCAGCTCCTATGTGAGCCTCGTCTCTGCCCCAGGCAGCCTACCACCTCCCTCCACTAAGCCACGTGCCACTGGATTTGCTAGAGGTTCAGGCAGCAGGGCGCTGCCTGTCTTGAAATCAGCATCTTCCCAAAGTGATTTCTCTCTCCCTAGAGATCTGAGAAACATGAATGGCAGCAATAAATTGTGTATGTGTGTGTATAAAATCACATAATTATAAACAATATATAGTCTCATATACATAATTATATACATGTCTCCCCTTACCCCACCCCAACTGTTTTTCTGACCTCCTCTCAAACACCTCTTCCCCTGATCCAAACAGGAGACCCACCTCTCACCAGCAGTTGGGATGGGAGACTCAAAAGGGGCCTGAAGCCCCCACAGAACACTAGCAACCCCCCAGGCGCCCCGAGCCCACCCCAGGGGCCAGATGGAGCCCAGACAAGCGAGCCTGCTCCATGCTGGGGACGGCGGGCTCTGTCTCACTCTCACCAGAGGGCTGGGGAAAGAGCCCCTCAGCTCTTGCCATCGGTCACAGCCTGCTCCTGTCATGTGTGAGCCCCAAGGCGCTCCAGAGGAGTGGCACTTATATTTTCTTTAGAAAAAAGTTCCCCTAGAGAAACTTTGTCAGATTTGCCATTTGTCAGATTCCCTGACTGTACAGTGGCTTTCCCCAACTCCTGCATGCCTGATCTCAACTTCAAACCCTCCTTTCAAGCGAAATTTAACTGACTGGCTGGCAAGGTGCGGCCCGGGCCCCCTCCTCAGCCCCTCATGGACATGCTCACAGATCTGCTGATGTCCACGAAAGCATGCGGCAGCCACTGTGTCCCGCCTCACCTCCCACGTGTGGGTGATGACAGCCACCTCCCCTCCTGCCAGGAGAAGCAAGCCTGCAGGCGGAGGGTGAGTGGGGCGCCTACAGCCGGCTTGTCAGGGGGACCGGCCTCCTCACCGCAGGAACCCCACTTAGGGTCACGATAAGCGGCACCCCACTGGTTTAAACGACCACCAAAGAAGGATATGTCCTGCACCCACTCTCCTGGTGGCTTCCCACAGACAGGAGCCCCACTCTGACACGGCAGCTGGAGACAAGAGAGCTGGCATGTTGCCCAGACCACTTTGCAAAAAGTAGTCTTTGATGCCACTCAAGGTCATGGTACCAGCCCAAATGAACCAACCAAACAATCTGGGAGGAATGGATGAAGGACTTAAAAAAAAACACCTCTAAAGAACAAGAAGATGACAGTTCAATATATTTTCCTAGTTCAATATACTTTCAAGAAGATTCTAGGCTTTGTCCCTCCCCACACCCCACTCTGGACCCCATCTACTCAGCACCTACTATTTGCCAACACCTACTAATGGCATCTAGTCTTTAGCTACAAGAACTATCCCTATTCTAAAGATGAGGAAACTGAAGGTCAGAGAGGTTCAGGAAATTAGTAAAGGTCACCAAGCAGAAAGAGGTAGAAAGCTAGTCTCATCTCAGTGCCAATAAATGGATCCGTGCCATTCTCCTTAAATGTCTACCGCCCGGCTCACAAAACACCAGTGGTTCCCTATGGACAATCAAACTAAGACCAACAAGTAAGCTCAGCTTGGCATTCAAGGCCCTTTATGATTTAGTCCCAAACTCTTTCGATTGTACACTCCCACATTCCCCTACAAACGTACCCACTCCAGCCACGTGAAGCCCCTCAGTACTTTTAAAAAGAGGTCAACCCCTCTCCTAGAAAGCTCCTCCATACCTGACCCAAAGGCCCCCAGCTTGGGACCCAGGGCAGGGACTGCAGCACCTGCTCACGGAAGAAGGGCAAGGGGAAGTGAGCAGAAGGACAGGCCCCGGTCAGGCCCTACAAGAATGCCTTCCCTGCCTCTCAAGGGTGCGGGAGCACAGACAATGGGTCCTGGGCTACACATACTCTCTCTCAGGAGACCGTTCTTCACATACTAGAAAACCCTTCCCTCTCCAACCAAAAGAGCCACACTTCACCCAGAGGCACGTTCATTTCAACAGAAATTCCTTCCTTTCTCTGCAGCTCCATCATGCCAAGATACCAAGGCCCAGAGAAGGCTTAACATGATTAAAATTTTTAAGTATTTAAGATGCTCAAAGGCGAGGCATCCTTGAAGTGCAAATCATCAATTTGGGGGAAAGAGAGAAACACAGGGGAGGGAAGGCTCTATGCAAAAGTAAATAAAATATAATTTTAAACAACATTGTGCACAAAGGTCAGGTTTGTGCATATATGGTCAGGTTGTATTGACCATACAACCTGAACTTCAGCATTGAGTCCTGATTAGCGCAGTCTCTGCTCCTATTGAGTCGATTAAACCTGCATTGTGAGGTGAGTGGGTTCTCTGGGTTTCACCAGATGGAGAATAACCATCCTCAGAGGAGTTATTCAACAGGCAGGGCACACAGTGACAAGCCTGGGCTGGGCGCTGAAGCAGCAGAAACTCTAGTCAGGCTTCCATCAGACAGACAATACCCCAAAGCCTAATACTGAAGCCTGGTACCCGGTGGGAAACGTCAAGGTGAAGAGAAATTGACTAAATGTGGAATTAGAGCCTTGACTTGAATGGTACAAGATGAGAGAAGAAATATAAGTCCACTTACACCTAAAAAACTATAGCTAGTATTTAAGTTCTGCCTATATACACATACTACCTTAGCATTTTTATGCTTATACTTTACAAGCCAGAAAATCTATACATTTCCTTTTATCGCAAGGATGAACTAAATTTGAAGAGACTTTCTAGTCTCTGGATCCATGGAAACAACTCAGGAGGGAGAAAAGACCATGCAGTTTTATATTCTAGACTAAGAAATTCAGGACACAGGTTTTATTGACAACTCCAGAAATGCTTTTAGGGTGTTCTCTTTAATATAAGGGTCCAAGCCATGTTAATGAGTCTTCTCCAATTTCAAAAGCTATTGCATGTACACAACTCTTCTTCAACTGACAAACTGCCAAACCATTCTAATGGCTAGGATTAAATTTTATGGTTCATTGACAAAAAGAATAGAATCCCAAAATCACCAATCCATGTACAATTGTTCATTTCCCACACTTTTTTCTATGTGGTCTCTGAACCTTCCTACTGCCACCCGGCCACAAGGAGTTCTAGGAGCATTACTTTTTTTTTTTTTTTTAACTAAGGATCAACTGAAGACCCTTTAAAACCCATCCAGCAGCTGAAGCCCACCACGGAGAAGTCAGCCCCTCCAGACGCTAATGCCATCCTGTGCTATTTCCAATCACATGTGCTAATGAAAGCTGCAGACCCAGGAAAGGGGATCACAAAGCATGGCTTGTGTATTTGGTTTTCTTTCACATGAAAGGCAGGAACCTTTGCCAGGTCTCACCAGCACACCAGGCTACATGGTCCTGCGAAAGCACGGTTTGCTGGGAAGCAAAGCTTTTGAAATAACTCCAGTTTCATACGACCACAGTTTTCAAAGGGCTGCACTGCGTGCCCTGGGTGCACCGCTCTTTACCATCCAAGGATGAACAAGCCCCATGGACCTGAATAACAGTTCCTTGGATTAAAACAGGGAAAAGATAGGGCTAAGAGAACCTGTCAGCTCAGAAACAAGCTAGGCCAATTCTGTACATGAGAAGCCTTTTCCTTTATGCCCCTCTAGATATAGCCTAAGAAATTTACCATGAATCAAATAAGACACCTGTCTCCATCTGATACCTTTAGCTGAGAATGAAGGAAAGAAGGACGGACGGAAAGAAACCTCTTAAGTAGCCAGACCTCAGCGTTGACATTTATGGACTGACTTTAGGGCTAAAGTCTTTTCATCCAGTTACTAGCGTCTTGCTTGTTCCAGGATACCGTTCTCTGGTTCCAGCTCAACCACTGGTCCACCTTCATTAACTCAGAATCTCCTGGATTTGCGCCGACACTAAACGTCACAGTATAGGGGTTACACGGTGTGGGGTCACTTTCAAAGCCTGGCAGTTACCAAACACGACAAACACCGCTGGCGGCATGCGCACCGCCCAGAGCCCCGCTCTCCCAGCAGGATCGCAAGGCCAGGCGCCCTAAGCGCTCCATTTCCTTCCTAGCGCGGCTGGCAGTGCAGAGCGGCTCACGCGGTCCCCACGGCCCAACCCCTCGGCCCTGGGAACCCGTCTAGAACACACTCAACAGAGGGACCACCCCCACTGAACAGGAGCGAGGGGCTGGGCAAGGCGGGCGCCGGGGGGCCGCGCTGAAGGGCCGGCCGAGCCGGTCAGGGCGAGCACCGGGGCAGGGAGGAGACAGTCGGGGGTGTGGGCGGCCGGCCTCACCCGGGGCGCGGGGGCCTTCCGCCTGCACCGCCAACGCGGTCTGTTCCGCCGGGCGCGGGGCTGGCTGCGCCCCCGCCCCCAGGGGAAGCGGGCCGAGACCCAGAACTGCCCCCTCCCCGCGGCGCGGCGACGAGGGGACGTAGGGGGGCTGCAGTGGCTGGTTTCAAAGGGCTGAAAAGAAACTTGGACTCCTCTCTCCCAAGGTACGTGACACGTTGAAAAGGCAGCCGCCTCTCTCCCTTCCCCCCACCCCCTTTTGTGCTTCCCAGTACTCTCACCCCCAAACTTCTCACCGCAGGGGACTGGGCTCCCGGCGGCCGGACGACACTCAAATTAAGAGGAGCGGAGAGCGGGGACAGGGGGCGACTAGAGGCGTCAGCGACCCCAGCCCCGGGAGCTGCACGGGGTCGCCCCCTCCTGAGCCCGGAGAGCACCGAGCGGCCGGCGGCGCCCCCCGCCCCAGGGGCTCGGCCGCGAGGCCCAAGGCGGGGGCGGATGGCCAGAGCCGAGATCCGGGCGGAGATGGGCAGGACGGACCAGGAAACCCGGCGGTGCGTCCAAGCGAGGGGCTTCGGCGGCGGGGCCCGGGCGCATGGGCGCCGGGGATTCCAGGGGCCGGGCCGCGGGCGGGCACCTCACTCACCTTCCTGCCAGCGCCGCCGCCCGCGCCCGCGGCCAGTGCGGAGCCGCCCCCCGAGTACATGTAGTAGGCGATGCCCAGCACCCACAGGAAGGCGAAGCAGAGCAGCATCCGCGAGCGCCGCCGCATCCTCCTGACTCGGCCGCCGGCCGCGGCCGCTGCTCGCGAGTCTGCCTGGGGCCGCGGCGGGCGCGGGCCGGGGAGGAGACGCCGCTCGGCGCCCGAGCAGGAAGCGGCAGCCGCGGAGGCGGCCAGCGGGTCAGGGAGCAAAGGGCGACCAATCGGCGGCGGCTGTGGGGGCCCGGCGGGGGCGGAGGAGGGGATTACCGCGTCTCCGCGGCGGCGGCTCGGATGCCCCGCGGGGAGTGCCTCAGCCGGCCGCCGCCCGGCCACCCCTGTGAGTGACAGGTGGTCGCCGGGGCCCCGGGGAAGGCGCGCACACGTGCGCACACACACAGGCGCCCACACCGGGGACAGCGGGTCACCGCTTCCTCGCGCTGCCGGGCGGAAAGCACTACCTCCTTGGTCCTCAGTCTTTGGGACCACCCCAGACCCCTGGCAGGCTCCCTCTTATTGGCCGACAGACCTGAGTTTTTTGGTGCAAATACCCTCTCCAGGACCCGACTTGGCTGCTGCTCGCTGCAGTTTTCTTACCAATCTTGCAGCAAAAACATCCCTAATCCCCAGGTGTCTGTTTTATTTATTTCTTTACGCAGAGGTGGGGGCCTAGCGGTAGAAACCGAGAGGTGTTTTTTCAAGGGAACATGTTTCTGGGGATGAACAGAGCGCTTAATAGCAGGGTTTTCTTTTTCGTTTTTAAGTAAACACGAAATGAGGAAAAAGGAAGGCAACACGTATTTTTAAAATCGTTTCTTTGCGGCTGTTTCGATCTTAAGAAAGAAGAGGCAGCACACGTAGCAGCTTTAAAGATGCAAGAAGACAGATCTGTCTTGTAACAGAATCTGAGTAACCTTGACAATGCCCTTGTAACAGCAAAGTTTCCAGCGTTCCTAGGAAAGAAAGAATGTTACTTAGCGCTTGATATTTTAAAAGGGATTCCAGGAGCTGCCCAGTTCAGAGGATAAAGGCAGCTGTCTGCATCTGAATATCAACTCACATCCTCAATAAAATACAAACACAAACAAGCCTTCAGCTCTACTATGACAGTGAATGGGATGAACTGACCTTCAAATTACTTCTTAAGTAGAATAAAGGAAAGACATCAAATTCCAACAGAGCTCCCTCCACTGTTGCCAAGGACTTAAGTGTAACCCAGGCTTAAATCCTTCTATGAAGAGCAAGTCCAACCCCAAGAACGAAACACTGAACACAGGTTGGGTATTTGACTGGACAAGGGAAGAGGTCTGAAAGAGAATGGGCAGGATGTGGCAGGCTTGAGGATGCCTTGCTTCTGGGAAGTGTCAGGTAAATAGAGAAATGGCAGTGCCCTTTGGAGATCTGGTAGTGAAGGAAAAGAAGGAACTGACAAAGAAAAATAAAGGCTCCCACAGAAATAAATGACAACTAATCCCTCCCCCAGAGTGGTTATCTATTAAAAACTGCACTTCAATATGCAGAGAAAAGGGGCTTCCAAGGGACTCAGTGGTAAGAAACCTGCCAATGCAAGAGACACAGGTTCTATCCCTGGGTTGGGAAGATCCACTGGTGGAGGAAATGGCAACCCACTCCAGTATTCCTGCCTGGGAAATCCCATGGACAGAGGAGCTTGGCGGCCTATAGTCCATGGGATCACAGAAGGCTCAGACACGAATCTAAACAACAACAATATACCCTGGAGAACTGAGTGGAATAATCAACTCCAAAACATTTTATTAAAACTATTAGATTTTAAAGGCAAAAAGATCAAATTACTTATAGAAATAAATATTTAGGCAAGGCAACAGTAGAAGAGTATTTACAAGACACTCAAGGAAAGAAAGTACTGGCCAAGGATTTTTGTGTCCAGCTTTCAAGCATCCAGGCTATAGGCAAATAGATGAGAACTGAGTACAAAAAGTATGCCTTTCTTGGAGAATGAGCTTCCCCCAAACAGGAGATAACTCAGTGTTGTTTCTCGGTCGTTTCCAACTCTTTTTATGGCCAAAGCTTCAACTCCACTGTGCATAGCAGTGGATCTGAAGGCACCATAGTTTCTAGACACGAAGTCAGAAGAGAGGCTGGACATGATGTGGGGAAGTCTAAGGACAAAGAAACTGCAAAGATAAAATAGAGCTTATGACAACAACTAAAATCCATGAGGGCAAATTGGACTATACCTCCAACACCGATTATGCAAAAAACAAAACAAACTCCACAATTAGATATCACTTCACATTCATTAGTATGGCTATTCTTTTTAAACAACAACAAAAATCCCGAAATATGACAGATATTGAAAAGTATGTGGAGAAATTGGAACTCATGTTCCTTAAAAAAATTAAACCTAGAATTACCATATGATTCAGCAATTCCACTTCTGGGTACATACCTAAAAGAAGTGAGCGCAAGGACTCGAACATGTGCTCCTGTGTTCATGGCGCTATTATTCACATTAGCCAGAATATGGAAGCAACCCACTGTCCAGCAACCAATGTATGAACGAAATGTGACATACAATGGAATATTATTTGACTTAAAAGAAAGGAAATTTTGACATAAGTTACAACATGGTCCGTTCAAGTCAGTCACTCAGTTGTGTCTGACTCTTCGCACCTCCATGGACTGCTGCATGCCAGGCTTCCCTGTCCATCACCAACTCCTGGAGCGTATTCAAGGTCATGTCCAGCGAGTCGGTAACGCCATCTGACCATCTCATCCTCTGTCATCCCCTTCTCCTCCTGCCTTCAGTGTTTCCCAGCATCAGGTCTTTTCCAATGAGTCAGTTCTTTGCATCAAGTGACCAAAGTTTGGAGCTTCAGTTTCAGCATCAGTTCTTCCAATGAATATTCAGGACTGATTTCCTTTAGAATTGACTAGCTTGATTTCCTTGCAGTCCAAGGGACTCTCAAGAGTCTTCTCCAATACCACAGTTCAAAAGCATCAATTCTCCGGTGATCAGCTTTCTTTATGGTCCAACTCTCACATCCATACATGACTACTGGAAAAACCATAGCTTTGACTAGAAAGACCTTTGTCAGCAAAGTAATGTCTCTGCTTTTAATATGCTGTTTATGTTGGCCATAGCTTTTCTTCCAAGGAGCAAGCGTCTTTTAATTTCATGGCTGTAGTCACTGTCTGCAGTGATTTTGGAGCCCGAGAAAATAGTCTTGTCACTGTTTCCATTGTTTCCCCAACTCTTTGCCATGAAGTGATGGGATTGGATCCCATGATCTTAGTTTTTTGAATGATACTAAGTTTTTGAATGATACAGAATAATACTAAGTGAAATAAACCAGGCATAAAAAGACAAATACTGTGAACCCACTTATATGAAGTACCTAAAGGAGTCAAATTCACAGAAAGAGAAAGAAGGGTGGTTACTTGGGACTGGCAGAGGGTAAATGGGGAAATTAGTACAGAGTTCCAGTTTGGGGAGATGACAAAGTTCTGGGGATGGATGGTGGTCCAGAACAATGTCCATATGTTTAATGGCCCTGAAATGTACACTTGAAACTGATTCAAATGTTACGTACATTTTATCACAATAAAAAGACATGACAAATGGGAAGAAATTATTTCCGCACCTATCATAGATAAAGGGGCAAAGTAATATCCTTAATATATAAAGAACTTAAATGTTAAGAAGGGCAAAACACATAAACAGACAATTCACAGTAAAGATCTTATGAGTTTGTAAACATGTGACAAGATGTTCCACTTTACTTGTAAAAGAGTTGCAAATTAAAACTGCAGAGATACTATTTATCCCCCCAACAAACTGGCAAAAATTGGGAAGCATGACAAGATACTCCGTTGATAGGGCTATAAAAAAGAATAAGGAAGACTTCTATGAACAGATATGGAATGACTTCTGGGATATGTTATTAAACATCAAATGAAATATTAAATGCAAAATACAATAGCTTATATATTACATGCTACTTTTATGTAAGAAAGAAGGGAAAATAAGAAAACATACAAATATCTGTTTATTTTGGCAACTGACACATCAATAATAAACCAGAAAGTAATGAAATGAGTTACCTGTAAGGAGTGGGAGGAAGAGAAGGAGGGACAGGAAGAGTGTGGCATCTGTCACTTTCTCCTAGGCTTGATCCTGGAAGCATGTTTTGTGTGTTAGTCACTCAGTCGTGTCTGACTCTTTGTGACCCCGTGGACTGTAGCCTGCCAGGCTCCTCCATCCATGGGATTTTCCAGGCAAGATCACTGGAGTGGATTGCCATTTCCTTCTCCAGGGAATCTTTCTGACCCAGGGATTGAACCCAGGTCTCCCGCATTGAAAGTAGACTCTTTACTGTCTAAGCCACCAGGGAAGTCCTGGAAACATGTTAATGTCCTACATATTCAAAAGTAAAATAAAATCAACAAAACTATGAGCGGAACACTAGAAACTGAATCCAAGCAGAAGTGCCTGAACCCACCTATATTGTGAATGGATACCATAGTCAGATTGAAAGGGCACAAAGGGATTAATATGTATAACTTTTAAACAAAGTACTTGGGCTATATACCCTTAGCCTAGAAAACAAAAGAACTCCAGACAATTTTTGAACTCTTCTTTATGCTTCTTCTTCACAGTGTCATGGTTGTCACAATCGAAGTACTTTATGCATATTGTGCAATTGAGCAAATCAGAAAATGTATTGTTTCAGGAATCTAGGATTTTCATTATGGAAGAAGGGAGGTACAGTGTGGAATGAGGGATGGCAAAGATTACTTGGAGTAGACTTGGAATTAGAACAGTGTGAACGCATTATTTTATACATATATACATACACATATATACACTTGTCTATGCTCATCTTTATGTCCACATATAAACAAATGTTTCTACATATACCATATTCATATATGTACATATTTCCTAGGTCTTTCCATTGAAAGGACCAGAGCAACAATCTCTTGGCATAAATGGATATATCTTGCAACTAGATCNGATTTTGGAGCCCAAGAAAATAAAGTCTTATCACTGTTTCCACTGTTTCCCCATATATTTTCCATGAAGTGATGTGACCAGATGGGATTTTAGTTTTCTGAATGTTGAGTTTTAAGCCAGCTTTTTCACTCTGCTCTTTC